TTTATTTATTTATTTTTGGCAGAACCAGGGATTGAACTCAGGCCCTTGCGCTTGTGAGGGAAGCATTTATTCCACTGAGCCATCTCCCTGGCCCCAGGGGTCAAGTTTCAACTACCTGAAAGCTTGAAAACTCTAGCCTGGAGAGCACAGTGCTTGCCCAAAGTCACACAACTGGCTGTCAAGAGAATCAAGGCAAAGCCTGAGGAGCTGGGCTCAAGAGGATAGCACAAGAGTAAGCTTAGCCGTGAATGCAGCGGCAGAGTGGGTGGGCTACAGACATTAGAGGACAAGGGCTTGGTTCTTGTCCTCAGTACTCACTAGCTATGTGACCCCAGCAAAATGATTTAAGCTAGATTTACCCATATACTACTGCAAGGAAAAAATAAGAAAATGAGCACTTACTTACTAGTCACTATTAGTTCACCAATTTCAGTGTGTGTATATGTGTATGCGGGGGATGGCATCTGGGTTAATCCAGAAACACTGACAAGCTTGGGGAATGAGGTCACATCTAACTTCCAAGAGCTGTCTTGACAACGCCAGCAGGTGACAGACTGTCTCAACAGCACTCTAGGTACTAAGCACAGTGCTATTACTACTCAGAAATGTCACTCAGAATTGATTGTGCCTCAGAACCAATGCCCCATCCAGACTCACCCCCTCTGAATCCCTGAAAGGTGAAATGCAAACCTGTACTTCCAGAAATTGAGACATTTATACACTTTAGCAGTCACCATTTTAAAGGATGCACTTTCAGTGGTTTTAACATCCTATACTCACAATACCCGCAAGGTTGTTAGAACCATCACCACCTAATCCCAGGAAATTGTCAGAAGGAACCCCAGATCCATTAGCAGTCACTTCCATTTCCTCCTTTCTAAGGACTATGTACTCAGACATTCATTCCATGAGAGGGCAGGCTCTGCCTAGCCTCCTCCTTTGGCACCAATCTATGTAGTGACATGAACTGGGACTTCATTCCTTAGAGTATGCACTTTTAACAAGCTCCCCAGGTAGTTCTCCTAAGTAGGTTTTGGGCAAGAAAAGAATAGCAAATTCACACAAGGTGAAACTTCAGGTTTATTATAAAGTTACAGGGTGTGCCTGACTAACGCCTACAGCGAACAGGCAATGCTGGCTGCCTGTCTCCTCCAGAGACTGCAGGGGTAGGCAGGGTCTCCTGGGTGCTCTGCAGAGAAAGGAGTGTAAATGGATCTGGCTTAGAAAACTGCAAGTGGCCTGGCTCAGAAAACAGGGAATAACTACACACAAGTGTAGTTACTGGGCAGAGTGTCTCACACAAGGGGATTAGTCTCAATTCAAAGACTTTAACGTACATTATGCTCTTGGAAAAACATCTCTAAGGAAACAAGAGAAACCAAAGTCTTAACCAGCAGGGATTCTTATTCAGAAACCTGCTGTGAGCCCCAGCTTTAGGAGACAACAGCATTAGGACTTAAGAGTCCAACAAATGACCTGAGGTCAGTGTGGAGGGCCTGTGTGTCCATCTAGAGATAGCACTCTGCCCACAGAGCACGACAGGCATGCACACCCTCAAGGCCCCAGGAAATCAGAAGCACCACCATTCTGGTGGCAGACAGTTCCACAGGAGGGCTGAGAAGACTCAGGCTGACCGAGTCATTGCCAGGGCTCACAAGGCACAGACTTCAAAAGGGCCGGGACAATAACTTATCTCCAAGTAATCAGAAAGAGTCATAGTAGCTCAGTGAGGAATCGGGGCACAGAGGAGGGGTGCCAAGTCCCTCTGCATCTGAGGCTTTAGAATACAACAGATGGAAAATGACAGCACCAGGATCCCTGAGGCCAAGGGGTGCTCCGTTTTGGGAGATTAACCACTGGTGCCTCTGGAAGGGACAATGGGAATTAGGGGGAGAACGCTAAAGCTTACCCAACCTGACTATCTTCAGTGTTACCCACTTCCCAGTACAGGCTCACTACCCAAGTTTTTTGTCACAGACTTCCACTCAACCAGGGACAAGTAGAAATTGCAGCTCATTTCTCCTATGAACCCACATTTACTCTAAAAGGTCATCCACTGATATCTTAGACTCCCAAGGCAACTCAGGGTTTCTTGTTTTCTAATCATCCTATAAAACAAGATTTTCAGTTTTCTTAGACTTTCAATTCCACTTCTCATAAGAAAGAACAACAATGTTACTGAGGCAGGTCTTTCCCAGGAGCTTCTGTAAGAGCTTGCCAGCTTAGCCAGGACCGGGCTGACACAGAACCCACAAATATGTTTTTAGGATGAGTAGAGCCTCTTTTACAATAAAGGAATTTATTTACTGGTGAAGGAGGGAATTCTGGCTCCATCTTTGCAGAACCTGGTCGTACTGCTGCTCTGGAAAGTTCTAGGTCTAGGTGAACAGAGAGGCCGGCCAAGACTGCGTTCACGTGGGAAGGGGCCTCTCACAGCTCCTGTGTTCGCAGAGCTAGCCAGTCTCGATGCCTTCGGGGAGCTCCACCACTACTGGAGCACAGTCCTCAGGCTCTGAGGCAAAGTCCCATCGAAACTTCTTGGTCAGGTGGGCTTGGAACTTTTCAGCTTTCTTCCTCAGGGTGGGATCCACAGCAAGGCTGCAGGCTGAAGAGAAGAAAACCTACAGAGAACAGAGATTAAGTCACTCCTGAGAACAGAGGAACTAAGAAAGCTATGGAAATTTCCTCCTGGTGTTCAGCTCTCTGGAGCAGCTAATCAGCTGCTGCTGGCACAGGTCTAGGACACCTGCCGTGCCTTTCGCCCCCCATGAAAGAAGGTGCAAACTCAGCTGAGATGCTGGAACGGGACTAGAATGGAAAGTTACTACTATGCTGGACAGAGACCCCCTATGGAGACTATGGCCAGTGGGGCTACCACCATTGTCCTACCTCCTGGGGGTGGGGGAGGGTTATGAGTCACCTGGGCAGTCACTCAGAGAAACTAGCAACTACACTAGCTGGTACTAAAAAAGACTTGGGAAACACATACATATTGGGATCCCATAAAACCAAGGCACTCGTTTAATGAGGCTGAATTGCTATTTTAATCTCCTAAGTGGGTTAAATGACCATCTCTGATGTTCATTTAAAAAAACATTATTAGTGTTTAAATTGTGGTAAAACATATATACTTACCATTCACACCATTTTTTCTAAATCCTTTTTGATTCTGGTACCAGTGATCAAACTCAGAACCTTGTGCTTGCCAGGCAGGTGCTTATGCCACTGAGCCATATCTCTGGCCCTTCTAAATCCTTTTTAAGTGTACAGTTATGTGACAGTAAGTACATAAACCTTACTGTACATTACTACCATCCATCCACAGAACTTTTTCTTCTTTCCCAAGTGAAATTCTATACCCATTAATTCCTCACTCTTTCTTCCCCAACCCGTGGTCACCACTCTCCTATATTCTGTATCTATGAATCTGACTACATAAGGTATGTCATATAACATGCCCTTTTGTGACTGGCTTATTTCACTTAGCACACTGTCTTCGAGGTTCACCTATGTTGCAGCATGTATCAGAATTTTATTCCTTTTCAAAACTAAGTGATGTTCCACTGTATGAACGTACCACATTTTGTCTTTTCATCCCTTAGTGGTCATATGGGCTGTTTCCACATTTCAGGTGCAGAGAATAAAGTTGCCATGAATATGGCTGTACAAATACAGTACTTGTTTGAGTCCCTACTTCCCATGTTGTTTTGTTTTGTTTTGGAATAGGTCTAGGATGGAACTACTGGTAATTTTATAATTTCACATTTAGTTGTTTGAGGAACGACCACACTTTTCCACAGCAGCTTTACTATTTTACATTTCTTTTTTTTTAATTTATGTGTGTGTGTGTGTGTGTGTGTGTGTGTGTGTGTGTGTGTGGCCAGCTCAGCCCACCAGGGGGC